CTTGCAATAACAAAAAAATCTAATATTATTAATTATTTATAAATACTGAAAAAAGTTAAATTATATAAAAAGTAAACATAAGCTTCGTTAATTTCATTTAGTTATTTAATAACTTTTAAATTCATAAATAATCGATGGATAAAAGAATAAGTTTAACTTCGGGAGTTTTGTTAAATTCGAAACTATACCTGTGCAATTTCACAGCTATACAATTTATATCAAAGCCTGCAAATCGATCAAGTCGTAACCAGCCGATGGCTTCTTCAAAGCGAGCGTTTCAGGGAAGAACTTGAAGGACACAATTGAAGGAGAGGATTTAGCCGGTGTTTCGACGATCCGAGGGGTGGTCCCAGGGATCAATTCAAAGTTCTATCGTGTTAATTCGAGTCTGCGACGAAGGTAAGCGGGGCGTGATTTGTATGGCCTCCTTGCATAATGACGGCAACCGGGGGCTCGTTTTGCGACACGTGCGCAGACACGTGAACGAAAGCGGAGCACGTTGGACTGTGACACGTCGGCGCTTGGCCCTTGGCCCTGGAACCACCACCACCCCTTGGGAATCCCTCTTCATCGTCCTGCTCTACATATCTCCTCAAATGTCTCTCTGACGGGTAGATACGCATCGATGAATGTATAGCCGGTATTATCGATGATAAAGAAAAACGTTCGCGTCATTGTGAAAATTATCTTTTTTTTTTACAGAGATTCCAGATATAAAATAATTCCTAAAGATTTTCTCACTCTATTTTACGCAATTTGTGTACATAAAAATTTAAAATATTATGTTAAAAATATTTAGACATTAGATATTTAGATATATTTAGTTTGCGAAAGAAAATAAGTAATAAATATTGATTATATCAATAGCAAAAAATTTATTAATTTATAGATCAGGAATTTCGTCGTCATTTTAATTATATTAATTATACGTAATCAAATACGAAATTCAATATGGATTTTTAATACAAGACATTATATATTTAATAAAAAAAATCTAATTTAGTATTTATTCCCGTAATAATTTGAACCTCAAAATCATGATGACCAATTGATACCTAATAATCGCAACAGAATTCAACGGGATATAATAAAAATTTTTGTGCGTAAGAATGTCAGCCGGCGCTTGTTTCGGCGCTCTCATTTTCTTACCCTGCGTAAACGAGAGTAATAGAAGAACACAAGTTACGTGAGGGCCGGGGGTGCGAACCCCTCGGGACGGTTTGTCCCCGCAGGACTCCCACGGGAGAGTTCCTGGGGCGCGGAGACAGGTCGCGCATCTGTCGAATCTCCCGAGAGATATCCTGCAGGAGACGCGCAGGATGCCCGTATTACACGGAACGCCGACGCTTTCGTCGACATCGTTACATTGCGCGTCACATCGCATGTGCTCTCTGGCTAGATTACACGCCAAACTTTCGACACATGGGCGGTTAAAAAGAGAGCGGCGCTCGAGAATTCTCCGGGGTGAACAAAGCGCCTTTAATGACGTTAAATTATTTCGCAGATACGTACATATTATAAGTAGAGAAAGAACAAAATTACACTTCGCTCCCCGAAGAAATTTAAATAATATATATATATATATATATATATATATATATATATATATATATATATAATATATATATAATAA